CTTCCCTCTCTCCTGAGCTCCCAAATTAACCATGTTAGTCCCAAGCCTAAGAAGCTTTGGTCAATGACTCCCTGTTACAGAGAACACTAAAGCACATAGATGAAACAAGACCCCAGGTTTCCACAAGCATGTATTGTGTATGTATGTATGTGTGTGTGTGTGTGTATACACACACACACACACACACACACACACATTTGTAGAGACAGTGATGCTTCCAGAATGTTTCCAGAATTCCTCTCTGTATCCTGCTTTCATCTCTGGTAGCTGCCACCAGTGGTTTTAAAAATTACGGTAGCAGAGGTAGAGTAGTTTAGGCCAGTGATGTAAAAGTCAAATAGAAATGAGGCCACATATAAAGATCCATGTGGGCTGCATATTGACACAGAAAACTACGTATTAATATTATCTATGTTTTATTACATTTTTATTTGGTTGGTTAAATATTTCCCAATTACATTTTAACCTGGTTTGGGCTGCACTGGGGAGTGCTGTAGGTCTCATGAGGCCCATGGTCTGCAAGTCTGACACCTCTGGTTTAGCATTTATCATAAAGAAAAATACTGATTTAGAATTATAACATTAAATTCATCATTTAACTAGTGCCTTAAAAGTTTACAAAGCAGTTTACATACATTATCACATCTAGGCCTGACTACGACTGTGTGAGGTAAGTGCTACAATTTTTGTTATCTCTGTTTTACAGTTGAGGAAATTGAAGCTGAGAAATGTTAAATTATTTGCCCAGGTTAATAGGACGAGTGTAGAGATAAATCTTAGTTTTACCTTGAAAAGCAAAATGCTGCCTCCAACAACTTAAAAGTCTTCTATCAGCTGTCCAACATAATGTGTGTGTGTGTGTGTGTGTGTGTGTGTGTGTGTGTGGCAGAGAGACAGAATACTTCTGAAAACAATGCCTATGCTGTGTCACTTACTGACAAAACTCCATCTCTTTCTACTTTAATGTGTTTTTCTGCTTCTATCAAAAGAAAGGAATGGGTCTTTTCATAGCTTTGATACTCACTATCCCAGTGTGTTTTTAGCTGTGAAGCAGTTGAAGAGTTAACTGGTATTTCCTTGCTACCTGCTAGAAACAACAATTTCTCAGTGTACCCTGTTCAGTGCCAGTACCCTCATTATGGAGCAAACACTCTTAAGCCAAGTGTCTAAGATGGCCTTTCACTGGAGGTGTGGGACATCATTTGCCCCAGCTATTTCTAATGAACTAACTGGGGAATGGGGGTGGGGGAAGGCTCTGGGTAAAGGACCCACTGTGACTGAACATTTTTCAACTTAATTTGTTAAAAAGAATTGAACTATTTGGGGGGGGGAACCCTAAAATAATGTTAAAGTTCAAACTAAAACATCCCAAATACATTGCTTAAAATAGGTTTTTTCTTTTAAAAAAATTTTTCTTTTCATGGAAAGCAACATAATACAGTTAACAAGAGCACTGAATTTGGAATCAAAGGACCTGGGTTTGAATCCTGACTCTGCTATTTGCTACCAATGTGACATTGGGCAAGTTATTTAATTTCTTTGAATCTCAGGTTCTCATCTGTAAAATAAAGGGGTTAGATTAGATGGCCTTCAACAACCCTTTCCAACTCTAAATCTAAGCTCACAGGATCTTTGTTGTCACTGACTGACTGACAGAAGTTTGTTTTTCTCTCTTCCTTATATGGTTAGAAATTTCATCTAACCCAGAGAGCTGAGAGAAAAGGAATGCATGTTAGTGTTAGTAATCCATATACATATATATGTATATACACACACACACATTCACTCATCTCTGTGTGTACATGGACCTGTGAATAGTGAGGAGGACAATAGTGAGCCCAAGCTGATAAGCTTGGAAAAAAGACACAGATGATATCATTCCTTACCCAGAATACTTTTATTATACTATATTACCTTCCTATTATTCAGGGTCAAGGCCCAACAGGGACAAGGTCTATTCCACCAAGGCTTAGGAAGTGAGAAGTAACATAGCCTCTTAGGTCCCCACAGCCTCAGCAATTTCCTATACTGGGCTCATTGACTTAGGTTAGGTCTCAAAAAGAATCTCCCAAAAGTTATAACTGTGGGACTGGAGAAAAAGGAAATCTTTACACTCTTCATTCATGGAACTTATAAATAGGGGAGATGATCCCTACAGTTCTCACATTTGGGGAGCCTGTCTGCTGCAGGTGACATGCTCAAGGAAATGCCTAATGCTATCTGATGGTGGACATGTATGGCTCTTGAGGACATAAAACCCCAGAGATTCCTCATCATGTGAAATCCTTCCAAGCTCTTCAGGGCTTTCAAAGATCTACAAAGCCAAAAAAACTTATCTGCCGATCTGCCTCTTCTCTTTTCTCCCTTCTTTCATCTTCTTCTTGAACTCAGATACACTGATCCTCATCATCTGTGGCTCTTATCTCTGTCTCTTTCTCTCAGCCTGTTTCTCAAAGTCTCAGTGTCTCTCTCTCTCTCTCTCTCTCTCTCTCTCTCTCTCTCTCTCTCTCTCTCTCTCTCTCTCTCTCTGTCTCTCCCCCTCTCTCTCTCTCCTCCTCATCTTAGGCATCTCCTCCACTTTTTTTAAATCTCTTTTCTCTCTCCTCTGCTCACATTTTGTGACTACACAGCAAAATATGACCATCCAAAATCAGATAAGACTTTGACTAAAGGCCTACAGGAAAACAGTGGAGCTATTGTCTCATCTAGTGGGTACTCTGGTACCTTAAGTCCAGTATTTGTACATATGTTTGTAACAGCATAAATCAATCAATTAAGAACTATGGCAGAAAGTAAACAACAACAGCAACAACAACAAAACCCTCTGAATTGTACTTCTGCTTACCTTTTTCTTCCCAGAGGTAGTTATTTACTAGAAGACCTGCCTTGATTTTGTAAATTAAAAGCTCTGCATTTACAAAGATGTGAGAATTTGATAGGCCCTCCATTTCATGGCAATAAGCAGATAACTGTAGCAAAAGAAAAGGCTTCAGGGACCCAGTCATAATTAGCTTATAGACTAGAAGTCTCAACATTTGCACAATTCATGCATTTTATGTCTTTTCTTCCCTACTACTGCCATAACCCATTCAGATAATTAAGGAAGATAAAAATGTTGAATTATGACAAACAACAGATCATTTAAACATTTCTGGCAAATTGACACATCAAGACACATTCATTGAACTCTCAGCCTATTCCTAACATGCTGGTCTCTGTTCTTTCTCCTCTTGATTACACCCAACTGGGGGAATTGCTGGTGAACAATCTATCAGAAGGGCTCCCACCCACAAAATGCTATGAGGATTTGAAACTTCAAGTTTCTCCAAAATCCTTTCCTGGGGCTAAGGACAATGGTGCCTTGGAGTGAGGGGAACATAGAGGTCACAACAGCCTCTAGGAAGGTAGCTGGGGCTCCCAGGAGCAGAGGCCTTGGCCTTTATCTCCTGCTGTGGGACATAGGTATGGTGTTCTGAAGAGGCCTGGGTCACAGAGTTCGGCAAAACTGCATTTGATGAAGTTTGTCTTTTGGTCTACAATGGCCCTTTCTGTGCCCTTTCCTCTTCCCCCACCCCCATCCCATTACCCTATATTACTGGGTACACAGTACTCTCTTGCCTAGGCACTAAGAACTAAATATGTTCCTCTTGGGTGGAGGGAAGAGTTGCCTTCAAAAGAGAATCTTGGAGAAGGTCATACTCAACACAAAGAAATTAAGCAGTAATATGAAATTGCAGGCAATGGGAGAGGGGAGAGATTTTTCACAAAGAGAGAACTTCTGGCCTTGCTCATAACTTGCCACAACAGGCAGCTATTTGTTCTGCCTATGGGTAAGGCCGGCCCTGGTATCTGAGACCAAACTTCCTCAAATACAAAGAAGGCTGAGGTCAGAGGATCTAGGTTCCAATCCTGGCTCTGCTAGTTACTACTTGTATGACCTTGGGTAAATCCCTTTACTTCTCTGGGCCTCAATTTCCTCATTTGTAAAATGGTGGAGTGGGGAGTGGACTAGCTGATATCTAGGTTCCCTTCTCCCTCTAAATCCCATGATTTTATGACCTTGAAAGCTCTTCATGAGGGGTTGGGAGAGGGAGCTGGAAGGCCAGAAGATGGCCGCTTTGGGGGTAGGATTTGGAGGGAATTCTTACTCAGAAATGGGTTGCATTGGATGGTCTCGGAGGTACCTTCAAACAGGGAGATAAGGTGTGGCTGCTCGTTACTGACGCAGGTACCCGCGGAGGAGATGGTTGGGAGGGGCAGGGTCTGGAGTCTGGGAGGGAGGCACTATCCCTCAGGGTTTCTGAATTGAGTATTGTATTTCTTTCTGCAAAAGACACAGGCAGTACTGTTGAAAAGGGTCTCAAGAATCTGGGGAGGTGGGGAGAAGAGGGATAAACTAAAAGAATGTGGCCAGGAGGCATTTGGGGAAGATGGCACCACACTCTGGTGAGGCCATTAATAATATATGCTCCCTGCCCCGACACAGAGCACGGCGATGTGCCGGGAGGGGGCCCTGCCTCCAGGAAACCTAAGGTCTGATGGGGGAAGACATAGGATCATGGGATTTCAGAGTTGAAAGGGACCTTAGAGGCCATCTAATCCAACCCACCACCCATCCCCATTTTACAGATGAGGAAACTGAGACCCAGAGAGGTGAAGTGACTTGCCCCAGGTCACACAGGTAGTAAGTAGCAGAGTCGGGATTCTTACCCAGGTCTTCTGACTCCAAATGCAGGGCTGTCTCCACCACACCACGCTGGATGATGGCACCTTTGTGGGGCTGCATCCCTAGGGAGGGGGGTGGGGGGGAGCTGCCTCGGAATTCCCTCCCAGCCACCTCATCGACGCCTCTCCCCGTCCCTTCCTTCCTTCCTCCCTGCCCTCCCCCTCCGGCCCCCAGTGTTTCCCCCCACCCCGGGTGGAGTCGCGGACGGCGGCGTGGACGGCCCCGAGGCGGCCCCGTGGAAACCCCGGCCCTCGGTCTCCCCGTGTCCCCGCAGGCTTCGTGAGCTTCGACAACCCGGCCAGCGCGCAGACGGCCATTCAGGCCATGAACGGCTTCCAGATCGGCATGAAGCGGCTCAAGGTGCAGCTCAAGCGGCCGAAAGACGCCAATCGCCCCTACTGAGCGCCGGCGGGAGCGTCCCCCGGGGGAAACCAGGACTCGCACAGGTAACTGGGGCCGGGAGTGGACGCGGGGCCGCGGGTCAGGAGCCTGGGCCCGGGGAGGACGGGAGGGGGCGGCGCCCGACCGCTCGGACCCGCCGCTGGCCGCCGCCGTCTGCTCCTCCGGACCTACCTCGTGGCTTTCCTGGGACCCGCCGACCCCGGTCCTCCCGTGCCATCCTGGGCCCAGCCTCCTCCACCCTGCTTGCCCATGGGGCGCGGGGTGGCAGGAGGGCACGTGAGCCTCCCCCTGCTGAGGGCGGCTTGGGAAGTCAGGGATAGGTAGGAGAGGGGAGAGGGGCAGCCAAGCTGGCCAAGAGGAACCAAGGTCTGCCCCCCAGCCTTGGATTAAGCAATCCCCCAGAGGCGCAACTGGGCCCTCAGGAATCTGCCCTGGCTAAGATTGAGGGTGTAAGATGTTTAGCATCTCCTCCCGCCCTAACTTCCTCCTCCCATCTCTATGTCGGGCAGGCACATTCTCTCCTCTCCCAGGGCCTAACTCTGGCCCAGCTGAAATGAGGAGAATCACTTCCATTCCCTTTCTGAGCCTGAGGTGAGGCGAAGGCCTAATAGAGGACAAAGGGCAAGGGCTGGCAGGAGAGATACCCAAGTGGGACCTATTGGGAATGGCAGAACCGAACTGAGCTGTCAGTCAGAAGATAGTGAAGTGGGATGGCAGGACTGATGCCTGGGGGTGGGGGAAGGGAGTAAGAGAGAGACATACAAAATGACAACAGATTAAAGACTATTAGTTGGAGGATAGATAAGGTGAGTTGACTTGTTCAGATCTGAAACAGCTGAAAACCTCAATTATTCAAAGAGGTTAAGAAAGATTTGGAGTCAGAGGACATGGGTTTCAAACCCTACTCTGCTCCTTACTGTGTATGATGTTCGGCAAGTAACTTACCTCTCTGGGATTCGGTTTCCTCATCTCTATAATGAGGGGATTGGACTAGATTATCCCCAAAGGTTCTTCCAGCTCTAAATCTTTGCTCCAAGAGAATGTAAGCTTGTTGAGAGCAGGGACACTTATGTTTTTGCCTTTGTATTGTCAATGTCTAGCATATAGTAGGCACTTAATAAGTGTTGAGCGATTAGATGATCCTATGATCAGACTTCTGGCAAAAGTTCAGTCCTACTTGAACACAATAGCTGCCACAAAGTTCTGTCCTAACATACTCATAATTCTAACAGTTTCTCAGCTCATAGCCCATTATTAGAAGCAGAGGAGGAAAGTGATTGGTGATACTAGTGACAGGAATGCTGAGAGTGAAATAGGAATAAAAAAACTAAAGGGACAGTACTATTTTACTGAACATATAATAATTGAGGGTCATAGTGATGACCTTAAGTTATTAGGAAAAAATTATCTTCAGCACCTTGTCTTTGCAGCTAGGTGGCGCACTTCATAGAGTGATGGCCCTGGAATCAGGAAGACCTATGTTCAAATCCAGCCTCAGAGACCTATTAGCTGTGTGATCCTGGGCAAGTCACTTAACCCCCTTTGCCTCAGTTTCCTCATCTGTAAAATGAGCTGGAGAAGGAATGGCAAACCACTCCAGCATCTTTGCCAAGAAAACCCCAAATGGGGTCATGAAGAATCAGACACAGCTAATGGACAAAACTACAATGTTGTCTTTAATAAGTCAGGAATATATAATACCATTTTTAAGAGTTCTGTTTAAAATAGCAGTTTTGGCTTTTGGATATAATACCTTTGAAGTCTCTGGAAAAATCATTTTTGTAGAATGCCTCATTCCCCAAAGATGCTTAATAAATGAGGTGTCACTATCCTTAGGACAAGGAGGATCCCTTTTGAAACATAAAGGAGATAAGTTTAGGATACTTGAAAGGAATCCATACTTTAAACTGTGAGTAATAAACTGATGTAATTATCATCACCAAGAGGCAGTGTGATTTATATTGGAAATCCAAATAGCTTCAAAAAGGTTTTGGACAAAGTGACAATTGTCAGAGCCATGAATTGACCTGTATAAGGCATGGTTCTGATCCATAGAGTCACAAAACCATAACATGTAAGAGTTGAAGGGGGCCTTAGAGGCCAAACTAATCCAGCCTCTTTCTCAGGCACAGGAACACCTCCTGACAAGTGGTTATCTGGCATCTGTCTGAATACTTCTAGTGAAGAGAAGCTCACTATCTTACAAGGCAGCCAGTTTAAACAATGAACTCATTATGGTGGTTCCTCTGTGGGAGAAGGGATTGGAAGTTGTGGCCATCACCTCATTCTTCTTTGGTCTTGCCTTGGGTTCTGCTCCTCTGGATAAGGACAGTGCTCTGGAAGGTTCAAATACAGGGCAGTTAGTATAAAAGGCAATATACCTGGGCTGGAAGACTTGGATTCAAATCACTGCCCTGCAACTTAACTAGCAATACTTTTGTTGTTGTTCAGTCATGTCTGATTCTTCGTGACCCCTTTTGGGGGTTTTCTTGGCAAGATACTGGAGTGGTTTATCATTTGCTTTTCCAGCTCATTTTACAGATGAGGAAACTGAGGCAAAGAGGGTTAAGTGATTTGCCCAGGGTCACACAGCTAGTAGGTCTCTGAGGCTGGATTTGAACTGAGGTCTTCCTCACTCCAGGGCCAGCACTCTACCCACCTAGCCACCCACTTAGCAATACAGGCTTGGGCAAGTAAGTAGCCACCTCTCCAGGTCTCAATTTTCTCATTCTATTCAATTAAATGAACATATATTAAGCACTTTAACTATATGGTAGGCAGTGTGCTAAGGGACGGAGCCTTTTTTTTTTAAACTAGTTCTGAGATTTCATCTATGTAAGGAACTCCCTCCAAGCATATAAATCAGCAACTACTCTACTTGGATTGAGATGTGCAGGGATTTGTCCAGGGTCAGCATATAGCCTATATGTATCAGAGGCAGGACTTGAACCCAAGTCTTGCTGACTCTGAGGCTAGCTTTCGGTTGACTGCTTCAAGGTTGCCTCTCCTCCAGTCAAACAATCAGTAAACAACCCTTTATTAAATACTTATAATATGACAGGCACTGGGCTTTGAGCTAGGCATACAAAGTCAAAAATGAAACAATTTCTGCCCTCAGGGAGCTTACATTCTACCAGAGGAGGCAACGTAGACATAAAGAAGTCAACATGCAGAATAAATACAGAACAAATATGAGGCAGTTAGGGAGGGATCAGTAAAGGCTTGGAGTAGAAGGTAGAACTTGGGCTGCATCTTGAAGGAAGTGAGAGATTCCATGAGGTGAAGGTAAGGAAGGAAGTACTTTCCATGCATGGGCAGACAGTAGACAGAGAAAAGGTTGGAACATAGAGTGTGAAGAGGGAGTAATGTATAATGAAGCTGGAAAAATGGAGTGAGGCCAAGCTGGAAAGGGTTTTAAAAGCCAAACAGAGTAGGGTTGTTTTGTTTGTTTTTATCCTAGAGGTAGAAAGGAACCATTGGAGTTTATTACCCAGGGAGTGACGTGATCAGACCTTTACTCAATGAAAATTATTTTGAAGCCTATATGGAAGATGAATGGATAGAAGTGGAGAGAGATTTGAGGCAAGAAGACCAATCAGGAGGCCATTACAATAGTCCAGGGAAGGCATAATAAGAGCCTGAACTAAGATGCTAGCCTTGTGAGCAAAGAAAAAGGATGGGACATGAGAGATGTTATGGAGGTAGAAATGGTAAAATTTGGTAACTGGCCATGTTGGGTGAAAGAGGGAGAGAGAGAGAGAAGTTAAGGATAATGCAAAGATAGCAAATCTGGGAAACTAGAAGAGTGATGGTGCTTGTTAGAAATACAGGTAAAGGGAAGAAATTTGGGGAAACATTAGTGAGTTTTGTTTTGGACATGTTGAATTTGGGATGTCTCCAGGACATCCACTTCAAAATGTCCAATAGGCAGTTGGCAATTCTATACTGGAGCTCAGGAGAGACTGGGGCTAGATATATAGAGAAAGATCTGCGACTCATTTGCATAGAGAGGATAATAAAACATGGGAGATAACTATAACAATGATGAGAATGGAAGTCTAGAGTGAGAAGAGGGCTCACACAAAACTTTGGAATGGGCCTACAGTTAGGAGGCATGATACAGATGGTGAGCCATCAAAGGAGACTGAGACAAGTAATCAGAGAGGTAGAAGGAGATCCAGAAAAGAATGGTGTTATCATAATCCAGGAGGAGAGGATATTCAACAGTGTCACCATAGCAGAGAGGTCAAGAATTAGTACTGAGGAAAAGACTGTCAGTTTGGGCAGTTAAGAAGTTGGAGAGAAATTTGGAGAGCACAGTTTCAGCTGAGTCATGTCAGACGCTGAAGACTAAGTGAAAGGAGGGGTAATGGAGGCAGTAAGCACAACAGCTTTTTCTAGTTTGAGAAAGAGAGGGCAGAGCTATATAGGATAATAGTTTGAAGAGAGTATGGTCTAGTGAAGGGTGCTGCCCTCAAGTAGCTACTTTCTACTAGGAGGCAGCAGAGGAGAGTGGAAAGCCCTCTGTACCCAGTCAGATGTGGATTTACAACTATCTTGATTTGGATCTTAGACTAATCACTTAATCTTTCTGAGGTTCAACTTCCCCATATGTAAAACAGGACAAAAATACCTGTGGAGTCATGTGAGAAAAGCACTTCGTAAATTCCAAAATGTTATATAAGTGAGGGCTTCATATCAAATGAAAGAGTTGGAGCAAATGATTTCCAAGGTCCCTTCCAGCTCTAAATTCATACCCTAAGTCCTGACCCAAATCTTCTGGTTCAGTGGTTCTGACTTTCTCCTTGAAGCTCAGTGCATCATCTAGTGTTTTCACTACATCTAGTCCCTCTAGTCCAGGGACTCCCAATCTTTTTCAGTTTCAGTATTACTTGTCTTTCAGTAAACTTCCCCGCTATTCAGTCCAAAAGGAAATAAATTCTTGAGTTTAACATGTACAGGCATACCTTGGAGATATTATGGATTTAGTTCCAGACTATTGAAATAAGGCAAATATCACAATAAAGAGAGTCACACAAATTTT